GTTATGTTATATTTGTCTGACTTACAAGTGCCTCTTTGATTTAATTGTAAACAAGATGACTGAAATGATCAAAATCAATGTCAAACTGGCCAAAACACTCAATTTCAGTGGGGGTTGAATAATTTTGAACACAACTGTAAGTAAGTATACAGAGCTGAGGGTCAGGTTTGAGTGCCTAGGCTAGAAGCTTGTTTTTAAGTGTCATGAACCTGGGGGTTGGTTTTGGGCTCAGTGTGTCGAGTCCCACAGAAAAAAGTCTTTGAAAGACCTCAAAGGTTTTGGCAAGTTTGGTTGGATACTGAAGATTAAGTGCATAAATCACCCTGAGGAATAGGCTGCATGCTTTGGCCAGCTTGCAAAGATCAGTAAGCACTGGGATTCCCTCAATGATGATGCCCACTGCATCTGGCTCATGGGAAACATAGATCCTCATGCTGGCAGTGCTCAGGTCCTCATGCACACTGGTCTCTGCTGTTCCCTGTGACATAGAAACACAATAATTAATACAAAAATCTCAAACTGTCTCATTTGAAAAATAAATTAAAATTATGTACAGTAATTTAATTCAGATAATGACAGCTTTTGTGAAGACCATTTGAAAAGTACAGACAATCCTAATATGAGATCTTGTACGTTATATGAACTAAGGTGCAGTTCCATGCACATTTTCAATTTGTACATAAAAAATGGAAACCCCAGAAATAATAATAATAAAAACTTTTAATATAACTAGGAAGTTTTAATGCTCATTTATGGTGGAGTTTTCCCCCCATCTAATTCCATTATATGTGTGCGAGATATTGCTACAGCAGTTCTCTCCAACACTACAAGTAAGAGTAAAAATATGGAGTTTTGATTTTGGGGTGTGAACGGCCCCTTTAAGAAAAGATGTCAGTAGCTACATTTCAAGTTCTGTATGGAAACCTTTCCCATCAATGAGTTTTGCACAACACATTAATGCAAATGTTTCACAATAAAATCCATAAAGAAGTCATAAATAACTGAAATGCTATAGAAAACAAAACAATGAAACACAAAACAGAGGCGCATCACTCTGTGGTGTTGTGCTAATCAGCTATCCCAGGGCTCCTGTTAAGTAGTTGCATGCTGCTATCTCTCTCCACCTAAACCTGACAAATGCCTGTTCCATCGGTTAACATAAAATCAACCCAATTTAAGCATGTACACCAGACCGATCCAACCAGGCTTTAAAACAATACTTACATAATAGTCAGAGATGAGCTCCAGTCCACTCTCTCCCACATACTGAATGAGACATCTCAGAGTTACATCTCTCTTTTTCGCAGTAGAGGCACTTGGGTCCTATAGAGGTAATAGGAGAATGAATAATATATAAATTATTCTCACAGGCAATGTCACTCCAAACCTGGAATGCCATTATTAGGGTGGATCTGTATTACTTATTCAGTTTTTTTATTTAACTTTAAAATCTGTTAATAATCTTGAAACTATTTTTTAAATAAAAACTGCTACATTCTAAAGTCATCCAGAAAAGGAAGATACCTGAACAACAAACTATTCAATTAAATATTGTACTTTAACCTTTTTATCAATTTTACCCCACCTGTATAAGTTCCATCAACAAGTTCTTGATGCGCTGGCCAGCCGCTCCTCCCTTCACACTGAACAGTTTCAGGAGCTTTGGAGTATACCTGTCCAGCCTGGACATAAACGTTGATTCCAGCTGAACAGCAGTGCACCTTCGGAACTCCTCATTTATCTATAGGAGAACAAATGTTTGGCTGTTACTTGAGATAAGGTGTAAGGATAAGCAACCTTTCAACATAATGCAATCCAATGCTTCTTCAGAACTTACAAACACATGACAAATTGTGGGGCTTCAGTACATGACATGTTGTTAAGCAAAAAGTGAGTCTAGTATCTCAAGTACAAGTCAAAATGACTTAAGTTCACATCTCTGCTCTGTAGTGAGCAGTAAATGGAGACTCTGGAAAACTTGAATGATATAGTATTTACCTGGAATGGTTCAAAGAGGGCCAAGCCATCTTTCCTTAAATTCAGCCACGGCAGGGGACTGAACAATCACTTCCTTTCTTCTCCAGCTGTATGTCCTGACCATCATGTAATTTATGTTCTTTGCACTGTCCTTCTTCTGGCTGGCTGCAATTAGGTCAAGTCTTAGATTCTCAAGGGTGTCGTCTGTTTCACCAAGTGGGTGTGAGGGCATGTAATTTACTTCTGCCCTCTTCAGTTTCTTGATATTTTTAGCAGCTTTTTGCTCATCCTCTGTTTTGTGTCTCAGTGAGTTTATTAGGATTTCTGGGCTTCCCAGTGCTTTACGTTTTGTCCTGTAGTTTCCACATTTGTATTTCAGGCTTTGCTGCCACCCATAAATTCCATTAAAAGAACCAGGCTCCTTCAAGCGGGGATGCTTCTCTACTAGTGCTTGTGCCACTGCAGATCTCTGGGCATCATTGTGGTAAGCTGTGTAAGAAAACATGGTGTCATGGATCGCTCTGGGGAAGCCCCTGTGACATCACGCAGGGTTCTCCTTACTTTTCCGTCAGCGCCCCCTTGACAGAAGATCTTGCCTTTGGGATGGACCCTGCGGATCGGCCTGACATACAGAATCTCACGGAAGCCCTGGGAAAGCAGGGCATCCTGCTTGGGCGACATGAGACTGCGCTCGCGGCGATCAGCGATTCTCTGGAGTCTTTTAACGCCGGGCTGATGGATCTAGCAACCCAGGTACAACATTCTTTATCGGTTCGTCCTTCCGCTGTCACCCCGATCAGCGAACCCCGATTGCCCCCGCCTCCGCAGTATAACGGTGACCCAGGAACCTGTCGCTCCTTTCTATCGCAGTGTTCTCTTATTTTCGGGTTGCAGCCTTCTGCATTTCCTACTGATCGCACCCGAGTCGCCCTGTTGACCGGACCCGCTCGCGAATGGGCGACTGCAGCGTGGGATGCCGGAGCGCCTATTTGTATTACCCTGCAGGGTTTTACTTCCGAGATGAAGCGAGTGTTTGATCGTTCAACACAAGGCAGAGAGGCGGCACGCGAATTACTGCAGCTCCGTCAAGGCGACCGCTCGATTTCTGATTTTGCCATCGCTTTCCAAACACTTGCGCTGTCCAAGGGCTGGGATATGCAGGCTCAGTTCGATGCTTTTTATAACGGACTATCTGAGAGCATAAAGGACGAATTGGCATCCAGAGAGTTACCGGCAACAATGGACGAATTAGTAAGCCTCGCAATTCGCGTGGACAACCGCTTCCGTCAGCGCCGCAGGGAACGTCACAGACTGTTGGACCTGCCGGCCGTCCGAGAAACAGCTGGGGTGAGCTCTCCTGAGTCCCACGTTGAAGCCATACAGGTGGCCCGTACTCGTTTGTCCC